CCCCAAAACCCCAAAACCCCAAAACCCCAAAACCCCTGTTGTTAATTTATATATTGAGCTTTAAGCAAAATGTCAAGAAATTTTGAAGAGGCAGTTCAAATGACCAAAGGTAGAGAGAAAGAGATTATAAAGAAAGGTAAGCTAATGAATATGGGAGACGAGGTATTGTGTGTGGATAAGCCAATTTTGGAGAACTTTTGAGAGTTTAGAGCCTTAATTTATTGGCATGTAGATAGCAAGGGAAAGAAGGTAAAGCAGAGTCAGGATAAGCCAAGTAATGATTCTTCAAATTCAGGCCCAGACCAAGGGGATTGCGGAAGCAAAAGGTAAGCCTTAAGAGTAAGACTTGTAGTTCACTGAATACTCTAAATATTGATGATGAGGTGATCAATGATGCAGCTCTACTGTGAAAAGTGTCGTTTGTTTCCAATGATATCTGGCAGGATGAGAATGCTGGCTCAAGCAGTGCTTCTGAAAGAAATAGCATGTCCTCTCTTTCCAAGATGGAGAGACTTAAGCCCGATTATAACAAAGATAGTAAGCTAAAGAAAGGAAAGCATTTTGAACATAATACACCTAATAAGAAATCTGCATTAGAGTAGTTTGATTTCATGATAGTCTAGGTTGAAGCAGTATGCGCAAAAATTATCTCCGAACAAAGCAATCTTGCAAGCTAGTCCCAGATCTTTCACTAACGATCCTCAGAATTATGAGGAGAGCATAGAATGTAGGCAAAGCCCGATGAGTGACAATAAGAGCATCAAAAATATGGAAATGGTGTATCATGAACAAAATAACTTCATAATGCGACTTCAAGATGAATTGGCTAAAGAGATAAGTCTTCGTAAGAAATTCGGTAAGAAGACTATATTTCTCATTTATTCTAGAAAACAAGGCAAAGATTTTCAATTTTCCCGACCCTGCAACTCTTGAAGCAGGTAGCGACCAGTACATTTTGGCTAAAATGGCCAAAGATCTAGAGCTAAAGTCTGAAGAATGTGAGGTGATTGTGGCTGAAAAATCACAAGAAATCCATGAACTCAAGGTAAAACTACACCAAATTTCCAATTTATCACATATAGGTATCGCTTGACTCTCAGCAAGCTATAATATGCGACCAGAGGAATATAATTTCTGAGAATGAGAAAGAAATAGCCAGCCTCTCTAAGAAAGTAGAGAAGCTTACAAAGAGCAATATTGAGCATGAAGAAATAACTTCGGGGTATTTGACTGAAATCTCTCAGCTAAAAATGAAGCTTCAAGGTAAGTTTCTGCTCCAACCATACAGCTTGTGAGGAGGTTAACAGCAAGATAAAGCATTCCAAGAATAGCAAGGAAATCATCACCAATCTGGAGAAGATTATCCAAGAGAAAAATGACGAGATAGAGAATATCCTGAACGGCTGTAAAGCTCAACAGATGAGCTTCCAGAAAAGCCTTGATCAACAACTTGACGAAATTGATGCTAAGAACCGTATCATAGAGGACCTCCAGCAGACGAATAAGGTAAAATACTCTTGATATCCCTAGAATATCGAGGAAAGAGTTGCAAGGCTCAAGCAAGCAGTTAGTGGGATGCACATCAACCACGATGACGATGAGATCGATAAAAGGCTTAGTACGCAATAGTATCATACCTTAGGCATTGAGATTTCCCTCAGAAAAGCACTTACCGCTGCTAGGCAGGAGAATAAAATCCTTGAGGATAACCTAATCGATGCCAAACTTCAATGGGCTAGTTGAGAGCACCAAGCAGCGAGGATGAAAATGGACATGGTCGATATGAGCGAGGAAATTCAGTACTTAAGAAGTAAGCACGTCTAAATTACCATTTCTTAAATAATCCCTGAAAGTTTCAATTCTTCTGATTTTAAAAGGGGTTTTGGGGTTTTGGGGTTTTGGGG